CCAAAAATGGGCAGCGAGGCTAAGGACAAGCAGGAAGGAGTGCGAGGGTAGCCCCCGCCTACTCCCTGTCTGCTGTTCCCATGCTGGGGCAGCTCGGAAGGAGGGGGCAGCCTTGTCCTCTCCCTAGTAGGACCTGGGTGGGGGGCACCTGACAATCAAAGTGTCCTGGGATTTGGCGAAGGTTCCCTGGCACTGAGATGTTGGAGCCAGAAATTTCCTGAGTGCTGAGGGACCACAGCCAGCTCACGCCAAGGCAGTACACAGTCCTGGCATCCTGATGCGTGTGGTGCCATCACTCATAGCCCAGACCTGGGGGAGAGCTGGGGAGGTACGACTCATGCACGTTGGCCATGTCTGTCCGCCTAACATCGAGTTGTGAAGTTGGCGGGAGGTGTCACTCCAGTGAAGCAGGGCATCTCAGACGGCCGCTGTCCGGCTCAAGGAGGATGGCTGCCTGCAGTGAGAGGCTCCCAGCCCACCTTCCCCCAGCTGCAATTGCAGAAGGAACTGGACAACCTGTTTTAAAACGACCAAGTCGGACATGCAAATCTAAAGAGGAGCAGAGAAAGGCGTTCTCCAGACTCACCTGCAGAGCTAGAGCGGGTCCCTCTCCTGAGTCCTGCGGGGGTGGGGTGGGGGGGTCTCCTGTGGGAACCTAGAAGCCTCTCTTGGGGACTGATCTCCGCTGTCAACTTTGTGACTCTCTGCACCGAACAGATACTTCTCCTTTTTCCTGTGTGTCTCTGTGTGTTTTTCTCTTCTGTTCCCCTCCCTGATTTTCAATCTGATTATTTGTGTCAAAATCTGGCGGCCAGGCAGCAGCCAATGGGGAGAGCGTGAGCGCTCGCGTATTTGCTTATCAAAACTTTCCAGGACTCGAGACCGAATTCTGTTTCTATCCATCGACTCAGAGCAGCACTTTTTCTCTCTGGAAACTTTTAATAACATTTGGATGAAAAGAAAGTAATGACTGAATTAGGAAATTTAAGGACTTAAAGCATTTACTTGTAAAACCTGGTTTTGTACAGAGAAGTCCTAACTCTGGGTTTTCTTATTTTCCTTTTCTTCCTCCCTCCTCCTCTTCCTTCCTCTCTCCCCCTCCTCTTCCACTTCTTTCCCCCACCCCGCCGTGCCCTCCATCCCTCTGTCCTTCCCTCCCTCCTCCTTCCTTCCCTTTCTTTTTCCCTCCTCTCCCCGATTTTTTTCTCCTCCCTTCTTCCCTCCCTCCTTCCCGTCCTAAATGTGACTCTGGCTTGGGCTCCTGGCGGGAGCTGCAGCGCTAGCTCATGGTCCTTAGCCTTAGCGCAGACCAGCTTACAGAGGCCCCTCGTCCTCTTCTTCGTCCCCAAGGGGAGGTCACATTTGCATTTCCCTGGACAAGGCCACAGAAGGGGTGTAAGAGCAGCCGAGGACAGGACGGGTGGGGGCGAGTTTGGGACCCTCCGCCCGCAGCAGCCCAGGTAGAGATTGCGTGCTGGGTCCCAGGGCCTGCGTTTGCCGCCATCTGGTGGCAGCAGAGGAAGACGGGAAAGCCGGTGGATCCTGGGAGTGTCCCCTGACCATGGAGGAAAAGCTTGGCTGGCTGGCTGGGACGCTGCATCCCATTTAGCACGGCCTTGGACCCCGGATCCCCGCCTCGTCCCTCCTCAGCGCCCTCCTGCTGCTTCCCATGCTTGCGCTGGGACCTGGCTGATTGATGCCAGGAGGTTTTGCATAAGACCAGAAGTCCACAGAGCAGGGCACTGTTAGACTGATTTGCATGCTCTTCCAACCGGGTGCTGGAGGCATTGTGTTTCCCTCATAAAGAAAACAAGTTTGGCGACAGGAAGCCCTGACTTCAGCTGCGGGTCCAAGGTTCGCCAAGAGAAGGGTGTTTCAGGCCAGGCTCTGTGCTGCGGGCCTGCCCTGCGAGGTCACAGAGAAGCCACCCCTCGGCCACCCAGGCGTGAGCCCTTCTGGGGGCAGGTCCCAACCCCAGTCCAGATGAGTCTGGAAGAGAACTGGGACGGTCTCACGTACTCGATGTCACAGGCATCAAGAGCTGGTGCCACTGCGCAGAAAACTTAATGACGAGGACATTCAAAACCCTCCTCACTCAACGAGTCCTCGTTTCTTCCTCTTGTCACCCAAACACGCACATGCACACGCGTGCACACACACGCGCGTGTGCACACACACGCGCACACACACACTTCGCTGTGGTAAGCAGTTTGTTGATTTTTCCCCCTGTACTTTCTAAATTTCTTGGCAATCTTAATTAGCGTCTTTAATGGTTTGGCACTTTTCAGGGTTTTCCTTACCAAAGGCTCCGGTACCATCTGGGTTGCCCCCCACCTTTAAAAGAATCTATTTAATTTTACTCACTATTGTTATTTTTAAAGTTTTTGCTATAGGGCACATGCACTTATCAAGGAGACAGAGAGAAAGAGAAGTGAGAAAGCGGGCCGCCAGGACACAAACTGTGGTCGGCAGGAGGGAGTCCAGCACGACCATGCTGCCACCCGCTGGCCCCGCCAGGGCTGGTTCCTAACGTCAAGCTCCCGTGTCAGGCGTGTGCAGGGAACCTGCTGGCTGTAATCCCACTTTAGGGACCTTACCTTCCCCGAGTAGCTGACACAGGGACTCCTCAGGCCAGCGGAATCCCCCCTCGGAGGGCAGTGGCCCGCTCCCGGCACACGGGCATCCCTGCTGAGGCCAGATCTGAACCCTGCGGCCCAGGGCCCACAGAGTCCCCAGCCCCTCCACTCGCTCCAGAGCTTTCCCTTAGTGGGCAGCCCTGGAGTCACGGCCTTCATCCAGTGTCTCCCGGGGTGAGATCTGCAGCCCTCCTGGGACCACTCGTTCACTCAGCAGTCAGTACCGGGTGCCCGGGGCCAGCAGGTGGCGTGGTGGGTAAGACACTGGACTCTCACATGGTCGACCGCAGTTCCTGTCTTGGACCCAGGAGCTTGAAAATCATGCCAGGTGAGTGAGTGTGTGCCCCAGATCCTGAGAGAGTGGACAAGAGGGACTGCAGCATGGCCATCCTCCCAGGGGCGACTTCCCACTTTCTCTCTCGTTGTCTCTCTCTGTCCCTTTCCGGTGAGTGCACGTGCCCTATGCCAAAAACCTAAATAAATAAACAAAAATAAACAAGGGGGTGCTTTTTGTGTATCAGGTCCAGCTCCCCTGTCCTTGATTTAGGGCATATTCGCTGAGCGCCTACTAGGTACGTGAGGCTTTGTCT